GTCGTTCCTTTACACCCCTCCCCCAACCTCACCGGCGGGACCCTGGCCCTGGGGCGGGTCCAGCCTCCCTCCCCATGCGGGGCTGGGGATCCGAGCCCGACACGTCACGGGCGCATCCTGACTCAGTGATCCCACGGCCAGCAGGTTCACACGCGCCCCCAGGGGAGCGAGCGCGGGGACAGGTCCCCGACCGCGCGTGGGAGAGTTCTGTTGTACCGATTAGCTGCGTGATCTTTGGGCTGCAACTTCCCCCGGCTGAGGCTCAGTTTCCTCGTCTCTAAAATGGACTCGATAGTAGAGCGCACTTCAGGGGGTGGTGGAAAGTATAAGAGATGACAGCAAGCAGCGGGGAGTGTCGGCGTGGCTGTCCCTGGGCAAGCGTGCAGCGAATGTTAATTAGCGCCCGTCGGGAACGGCGGCCGCCCCCGCAGGGCGGGGGATGGGACTGTCTCCCCGCCCCGCCCTCACCCAGCCCGCCGCCCCCTGCCCCCAGCCCCAGCCTTGGATTCGGCGGCCGCCGGGGACCTGACCGACGCGCTGTGCGAGTTTGATGCGGTGCTGGCCGACTTCGCGTCGCCCTTCCACGAGCGCCACTTCCACTACGAGGAGCATCTGGAGCGCATGAAGCGGCGCAGCAGCGCCAGCGTTAGCGACAGCAGCGGCTTCAGCGACTCCGAGAGTAAGTGGGGCCCCGCGGGGGAAGGTGCGGAAGCCATGGGGATCCCCGTACCCGGCCCACCGTGGAGCACCCTGGGCTCGGGGCTCAGTTTGCTTGCTGGAAACCGAGGGCTGGGGCCCGGCTTTAGCAGAACCTCTCTAGGACCCCGGAGAGCAGTATCCAGAGCTGCAGGCCCTGCGGGGACAAGACTCCTGAGGGTGGTCACAGGAAGGCTCTTGGAAGGCCGGCCGATCTACCTGCCGCCTGCAGGTATCAGGAGGCAGGAGGGTCTAAGAAACTTGCCGAACTCAGCCACGCAGGACCCCTGAGACCCCAGCCAGGCCTTCCCAGGGCATCCTCTCCTCCTCCCCTTTCCCCTTCTTGCCCCTCTCAGCTGTAACTTCAGAGGAGGTGGAGCAAGCGCCCCAGGAGTAGGGTCAGGGGAGACATGGGAAGGCACAAGATAGAAATATTTGTGAAACTAGGAAAGACTTCACAAGCTGCCGTTTTGGGGATTTTTGAACCGACTTCTTGCACCTTCTTACCGCGCTGTGCTCCCAAACTTGTTGCTACACTGCCTGCAGTTTTGAAAGAATCTCTGGCACTGCTGAGCTCAAGTATTTAGGAAGTGTCCCTCATCCTTCAGGCGGGTCCATCATGTGGACTGCTGGCTCTGACACCCCCCCCAACCCCCACCAACCATGGAGGCTGGGCCAGAGTGCAGATGGGCCCAGAGCTGCGTCCTGGTGACTTCTTCTAGAGGAAACTCCCCCAGGGTCTCTCGGTCCCAAATAACCTCATTAAGAAGAGAGAACGCATCTTCCAGGAACTCAAATGCCCTGTAAGGATTATGGATACCTGTTTAGGTGACAAACAGCAAATGTGGTGACTTTTCAATGTTATGTGACAGTTGGTTTTCTAAACCTAGATTATTTATTTTTTTTTCAAAGTGAATTTTAAACCCTTCTGGATTGTTCTTTGAGACTTCACTCCCTAAATGAGTTACAAGCATGAATGTCACTCTCTTTTGCTGCCTTGACTCTGGGGAGTGAAAGCAATGACCTTTCCTTTTGATTCTCTTCTTTTGAAATCTGAAGCTCCCCCTGGTTACAGGGCAAAGATACAGCCCTAGACTTACACATGAGCTGTCCTCCTGAAAAGGATAAAGGTCACTTGCCACCCAGTTCAGGGTTTGAGTTGGAAACTTGGGTTTCAGCTTGACTTTCCGTGCCAGCCCTGCCCAAGAGTTAGACCTAACTGCAGCTTTTGAGGTGAAAGGGGATGGAATTGTATCCTGTTAATTTTCTGTTTTGTAGTTTTGGACTTTGTTGCTAATGACCAGACTGCTCATTTCCAATTTCAAAGAGAAGTCTGAAACTTTTGAAATTTGTCTCCCTTCCTGTCGCCAAACTTGAATATGTCTCCTTCTACTTGGGCGTGAGGCAAGCTATTCATCAAGCACAAATTCTCTGCCCCGTGGGAAAGAAGGCTGGCACGGACTGTCCAGCACGGCTCTCTTGCAAAGAACAGCTCCTTTCTAAACCACAGCTGCATTTGGCTGGACTATGGGCTGAGCTCGCCCATTCATGGGTGATTGCAACTCCCTCTGGGTAGGATTTCAGCTCTGGGATCTGTTTTCAGAGGCCTCAAAGAGAAGGCACTCGAAACACATTTTAAACAGTTTTGCGGGGGAGATATTTGGAACAGTCTGTAGTTTTTCTTCGGGTATGTGGGTGGACTTTGCTTTCTGCTTTGGTTGTTAACTGTTAAACTAACCCTTAGTTTTGGTGGTTTAGAGGAGTAATCGGGAGGGTATAAAGAAGACTTAGATGACATTAGACTTGGCTATAAATGTGTAGTTTGTCCCCCACCAGACTGGCTAGAAATAATCTTGGCAGAAGCAGTGTGCGTCTAAACAGTAATTTCTTAAGGACGCATAATATGTGTATCTTAATTGCTGCCAAGAACGGATCGCAGACATTTGTTATACTCATTTGTCTGTTTAATGCTCTTCTGGAAGAGAAACATTTGAGAGAGGTAGACCCTCCTGAAATTCAGCCCAGTGAGAGGGAGACACAGCAGGATGATGATGTCAAGAGAAGCCCTCTGTTGCCAAGTCCCCACTGTGGTTACTCTTATTATATATTCACTTTTACTCTTAGTGATTTCTTTGCTGTGTGTTAAATGTGTTACCTCAGATGATCTCCATTGCATTCCAATAAGGTGGGCACCACTGTCTACATTTTTCTGATGAAGTGGTGGAACCACTTGGGCTCTCTCTCTCCAAGGCCTGGCTCTGTCACTGTGGATGGTTGGGTGGTAAGAGAACCAGGTCCTCTAGGACAGACCTGAAGCCCCAGTGGACTGGGATCACGTGGCTCTTTATCCCTGCTGGTTGTGTTTGAAAGTGTTTCGTCAAGGCAGTGGTCATGTGGCTGGGGCGGTAGTCACGTGGCTGGTTCGGTGGCGCCCAGGTTGAGCTCTGTCAGGGCCCTGCATGAGAAGTGGGCTTCAGTTTCTGTAGCTGTAACATCAAAAGGATGCTATTTCGTGGTGCTGTCTGAAACATCCGTAAGCTCATGATTAGGAAGAAAATATTTGCTGTTTGATGCTTGTAAGAAAACAATAAAATGCACATACCATGCTATGTCACACAGATCGGACACATTTGAGTCCATGTCTTGCATGAAGATGTTACGTATGGAGCTCTAAACCGTTGGTACCTTGGTAAAATAGGCATTCCTTCTTCCGCTAGAGCAGGAAGTTACTTAAGACAGAAGGACAGATATTTAATAAGGAAATACTCCTTCTTGTTCCCATTTGAAAAGAGTCTTCCTGAGATATGAAAAGAACCAAAATAATAGTGGCAAGATAACGTCACATTAGAGGAGGCATCCAAATAGGGGTTGATGAAAATAGTTCCTTTTGCTCCTTTCTCTACCCTTGAGTTCCAACAGGTAACACCAGGCACTTTAGTGAGAGCAGTTTCAACTTCAGCAGTAAAAGGGCAGTGTAGTTAGGAGCTGGGCCACAGAGGGTCCCTCCTTGGAGCTGCTTCAGGAATTGTGAACCTCTTTGGATTGAACTTATTTTGAAAAACATGTTGTTTTATCTAAAACTAAATTTTATCATATACTAAATTTTAACCAGTGTGTTAATTTATGTTTCCACTGCTTGAATTTGTAAGAAGTTTTTAGTATTAACTGGAACTTTAAAAGGTGATGTGAGCTTCTATCTTTGATGGATTGGAGCCTCACATTCCTTTTTCCTTTGAAGGGGGAAGTGTTTTGCTACTTTATAGAAAAGGTCTGATGTCTGATCTGTTTCCTGGGGCTATTACGATATTGTAGGGCCATTGCTGGGAATGAGGACTTGGCTTCTTGAGTGTGTGCAAGACCTAGAAGATCTAGGGGGAGAATATAGCTCAGTGGCAGAGCACATGCTTAGCATGCATGAGGTCCTGGGTTCAATCCCCAGTATCTCCATTAAAAAAAAAGTTGGAGGACCTAGAACATGTGTATATCTTTGTCTAGACTATTCTAGCTTGTCCCTGGGAGAGGGGACCTTATGGACCCTGGAGGGGCAAGCATGACAGGTAGCATGTTGGCTGTTCTGGCAGGAGCCACTGAGACCAGACCCTGAGCTTGTTCAAGCTATGAGAGCAGGAGGAGTCAGGAGCCCTCAGGTTGTCCCGGGATGGTGTTAGGAATTCCAGGCAGGTGAATAGTGTCACTGGTGAACACCTGGAGGGGTATCTAGAAGCTCTGAGCAGTCCCAGAAGGGAATGCTGGGCAATAGTGGTAAAACTGAGAAACGTTTGCTTATTGCTTATTTAAGAAGATTCAGCCCTTACCCTGACCCCCTCCCTGTACCATTCCCTGTGGCAAAAGAGAAACAGGTCCAAGGCTGCTTCTCAGTTAATTACTATGGTTTGCTGGCCCGAAACGTGTGGGATTGTTCTATATTTACAGGAGCCCTGGCCAAGGGTTACTGTCTGTGGTTTTACTTCCCTCTGGAGTAGCACGTGCTGGTGCTGACCCCAAATTACCTTTCTCCCCGCCCCCAAACGAAAAAAGCATGTCTATCTTTTAAACAAGCCTCTGTCTTTTTGCAGCTGAGTTCCCCAAGCTCTGTGGGTGCTTCTACAGTTAGATGTTTGCATATTTAATAGGCTTATGGTTCTCTGACGGTGTTTTAGAAAACTTGGTCCCTGAATTTGAGGTTCCTGGCTTCAGTGCACTCAGCTGACTTACCAATGATGTTTCTTTCTAACGGGGCTTTAGAGCGGGTAGAAGTAGCCGTTGTAAGGCCCTAAAATATCTAGTCCTGCCACCTGCTAAGGTTCCCCCAAATCAGCACTGTTTTGTGTCCCTTGAGCTCCTATTAATAGCAGCACCTGATACTGGGTGGAGCAGCGATGCATTAACATGCTATCAGCCAGCGACACATTGCTGTCACTTATCAGACTAACTGGCTGTTATTTGGCAAGAAATAGAGTTCCAGGGGAGTGAAAAGAGCAAGGAGTAGCCGGCTCTGCTTGCCCTTTTAATTTACACCTAGCAGGGAAGCTTGTTCGTTGTTAAGTCCATGGCATGAAATTTTATTGGATAAAAGGTGAAGAGTGATCTGGACCCGAGGGACTTCTGTGTTGGAGGTTCCTTCTAGGGCACCTCTGAAGATAAATTTCCTCTTCAGAATTTTGGTGCTATCTGAAGAAGAGGAGAAAGCCTGGGTCTAGAATCTTGTCCTGTTATTCTAAGCGGTGGCCTTTCTTCTCGTGAGCATGTCTTCCTCCATTTTGTTGGGAAAAAAGAATATTGTAAAAACCACAGGTATCACATGGAGCGCCCGGGAGACTTGTTCCCCTTTTGCAAAAACAGAAACCAAGGCTCAGAGATGAAGTGACCTGCATGGGGTCGCACAGCTGTCACATGGCCTCGGTGCCACATGTCTCTATGGTGGCAGCTTCTGTGGGGCTCTTGAGGTTGTCCTGGTCACACTGCGTGTGTGGGTGTGTTTCACCCACGCCAAGGGATGAGTACATATGTACATAAAATTGCTGGAGAGGTGGGGCAGAACAGAGATGAAGTCCAAAGCCAGGGCGAGGGCCTGTGGTGGGACAGGTGAGGCGGAGTGAAGTGTGGCGGTGAAACTGGCCCTCAGGACTGATTGCTTCTGGGAGATAGAGACCAGGGGCGTGGCCGGTGGGATGTGGGCCAGCGAGTCCCGGGTTCAGCACTCTGGGCCACGGATGGGGGTGATGCTCTCGGGTGTCCTTCAGAGTCAGAGATAACGTTCCAGAGGTCTCGGACTCCTTCCTTCTGGCTCACGAGTCTGGGCTCACGGCCTGCCTCCCCAGGGCCCTCTGTGGTTTCCCTGCCCCTCAGTCTTACCTCGTTTTACCCCCACCAAGTCTCTCAGGTTCTGTTTATGGGGGTTCTCCTGCCCCGTGGGCACTGTGTATGCAAGGAAAGGCCTTGCCTTGAGAAAACCCAGGCCGCTCTAGAGGGAGCTCAGCTGACAAGCAAGCAGATGGGCTTCCCAAGTTGACTTCCACTGAGATCAAGTGTCCTGAGAAATATTAACAGAGGTGCCACCAAAAGAGTGTCCCATGGGCAAGTAAACCAGGGAAGTGGGGCAAAGCTGGTTTCTCTATTACAAGACGTCTCAGGCACGTTAAGGTGGGATTACATCAGAGGACTCTCCGGTGACCCCTGGTGTTTCTCAGAGTTTGTCGATCACACAGTTCTTCTCAAAGGATCAGGATTCTGGGAAGTATTAATTTTTAGGGAGGTGTTTCAGATCTCAGTGGGCGTTCATCGTCAGTGTCCTGAGAAATGATTGTGGTCCTTCTAGGAGACCTGGGATGGACCTCTGCAGGAAGAGTAGATTTTGACAGTTCGGCATGGCTGTAAAACTGGATGAGATGGGTGTGTCAGCCAGGATGGCGCTGGGGCCAGCTGGTCAGGAGAGGCTGGGAGGAAAGATGAGGAGCTGGAGAACGCGGGGCTGTCTTTAGGGATGAAGATGAATTCTCTTGGGACCAGAAACCTCCACTTCTGAAAGCCCTTTTATTCTGGGCATGTCGTTTGTAACTTAGTCCTGTTCATTTTGCATTAAGGGGACCAAAGAAAGATGATTTTGCCTCCTTCTGAGATGGAGGTGAGTGGATAAAACTGAGAGAATATTAAGGAAGATGGGGAGGCTGGCCAGGCCCTGAAGATTCAGCTGCCCTCACTCACCTGAACAGCCTTTCCAGAGCTCACCTCTGCTACAACCGTGCCTGGCTTTGTGTTTTGTTTTCACCAGGAAGGCTGCTCCTTTGTGACCTCAGAGGCCACATCCTGCTTCCGCCACCTGCTCTGCCTTTGAGCCTTTTGAGTTGGTGCAGCTCAGCCAGCAGCTCCTTTCTGTGTCACAGCCACACAGCTGGGTTGGCCATGGTTGGGTTTCCTCCCCCGTGGCAGGCCTTAGAACAATAGGACCTGAGAACTTCAGAGCTGGAAGGGACTTTGAGGATGATTTAGTTCACCTTCCCATTTTATGGATGGGTAAGCTGAGGCCGAGAGCTACTATCTTGCTCACCAGCACTTGAATGAATACTTAGTAGCTGAACTGTTTTCCCTGACTCCCAGCTCAGCCCTGCTTCTAGGACCTTGCCTGGCTGTTGCTCTGATTTTGGGGGGTTTGACAATGGAGCCACCAAATTACTCAAAGTAACTGTAATAGACAACTTCCGGGAGAAGAAATCTTTATCTCTGACTCTCTAGCTTACCCCCAGAGTGTAGGCTTTCAGGAAAACCATGACAAAGACACACGAACAGCAGGGAGATTATTAAGTCATGGGATCTAACCTTGTCTTTGTATTTTAAAGGATTCAGAGGCAGAAGAGACATTTTTCAGGAAAGATGGTTCCTTACATCCCAAACCCCATAACAACCTTTCCCCGCTCCGACCCTTATCCAGCAGGCACTGGCTTAGCTGTCAGTTAGACACCTGGGCAGTGGGTGCTGGTGTGTCAGCAGGGAAGCTGGTCTGGTCGTGATGATTCTCTCACTCCCTTCTTTTTTTAGGGAAGCAAGGGCCTTTGGAGTGCCTGATTGGAGATACACGCTCACATACATACACAGGCACACTCTCCTGCCTCAAATCATGTTGGGGCATAAATATAAAATCTGGAAATCAACCCGTTTTCTTTATCACTTTGCTCCATTTGGAGATAAACCGTTGGTTATCAATAGACTGTAAGACCGAACACCATTTCTAGTGAGTTCTGTTTTCTTTCTTAAAAGGTGCTGATTCGCTTTATAGGAACAGCTTCAGCTTCAGTGATGAAAAACTGAACTCTCCAACAGACAGCACTCCCTCTCCGCTCTCTCCCACCGTCCCTCCCCGGAAAGGTGAGTTCATTACTTGGAATGTGACTTCTTCTGCTTCCTTACTCCCTCCCTCTCCTCAGTCTCTTCCCTCTTCCCTTTCCTCCTTAAACAATCTCTCCCAAAGGGTAAAAACAAACAGAGAAGGCTAATTTCTTAGTACAGTCCAGCGTGGAGTGGATTTTTGTTATTTCTCAGGTTTTTGATCAGTGCAAAAGTGAAATCTGATCGCTGGGGGCCAGGAAATCAAATTCACAGGGAGGAAGACAACGTGCAGACTCCGGACCCTGCTTTCTCTCCTGTGCTGTCATAAAGGCTGTGCCAAATGACAGTGCCCTCCTAGACTCGTTGGTTCTAGAATGTAAAACTCAGCAGTTAGCCTTTGCAGAAAGTTGGGTTCTTTTTGTTGCATTAACTCTTTAACTAATGCTTTCCGATGACCAATGTGGCAATGAAATGGAGTCATCATTGTGAAACAAGAGATGATCTAACATCATTGAAAATAGCAGCTCCGGCCTGCCTCTACTGTGATATTAATAGACCTCAAGAGTTTTTAAAGATGCATGAGCAAGTTCTTATATTTTGGAACTAGGGAAATGTCTCCAGCCAGAGAGCTGAATGTTCTGTTATACTGGACAAGCGCCCTTTTAAAAACAAAAGGAGTTTTTTTTTTTTCCCATAGGAAACCTTATACTTGCTGAAAATAGTTGCAGAAAGCAATAAAAGTGGAACCCAGTTCAAAAGAAATATGAAGATTCCATCATTTTCTCACTCTGGCATTAGGGCAGAGTTCTCCCCCTTTTTTCAAAAGAGACATTTAAAAATTCTCCTCTCAATATAGCAGTGTAAGCAGTCACTGAGGACTTTGCCATGGTCCAGCCCTCCATCTGTAATGGGGCTATTGAATTGAGAGAGACAAAACAGTCTAGAAAGTGGCTTAAAATGTGCCCAGATTTGCTACCTGATCCTCAAGACGTAGGAATTAAAGAGAAGGGGAAAAAAAGGTTTAGTGGCAAACTGACTTTAAAATCTAAGAACAGTGAGCTATTTGTAGCCAGCCAAGGTTAATTAACAAAAATATGCAGTAATGCATTCAGAGAGGGCATGAGTGATAAACTCTAGAGAAAAAAAGTAAAGATATACAGAAAAAAGTACACATCTCAAGATATAGAGCGAACAAAATCATGATGATTTACTACCCTGTGCTGGCATCTGGGTGGGATGAGGCCGTCCTGACCCAGAAAACTCATGTCATCTTCCGCGTGCCATCTTGATGAGGAACAGTGATGCTTAGTTCATTCCATACTGGAGGGATCACGAAGGTGGAGTATTTATTGCCCTAGAGTGACAGCTGGAACAAGATTGTATCAGAGGGGAAGTTTCGCGGGATTTACAGAATCTGAGTGTCCACACAGTGCGGTGCTTGCTGAAGACATTTGACTGAGAACTCTGATCCAACATGATCAAAAAATTAAAACTTTTAATCTTCCTTCCATGAAGGGAGAGACTTTTTCCAGGTTGCTGGGGTAGCCGTGGGGTGTGGGGCGTGATGAGCTGCAAACACCAGAAAGAAACATTTATGCTAAGCTTCAGTGTAAGTTTCTGAGTTGACTATAAGTAGACCTTGGAGTGGCCGCTTAGGGTTGGTACAGGGCACTCTTTCTTAAAGTCTCTGAAGACAGAGATATGCAAACTGGGGCCACATAATCCTGGAAAAGTCAGAATCTTCAGCTGTCTCTGATATGGAAACTGAACCCCAACCCTTGTTTTTTTCAGCCAAACTGGGAGACACGAAGGAGCTTGAAGACTTTATTGCTGATCTTGACAGAACATTAGCAAGTGAGTACATGCCTGGGATTAAAAAAAAAAAATTAAACAGAAAAACAACCGGCCCCTCTGATAAAGTACTATGTTTACCAGCTTGCCTGGGGCAGGAACTTACATCATGAGGCTTCTTTAGGGTCAGAAACAGGACCCTAGTGGCTCAGAAACAAATTCTGGGGATTGGCTTGCGTTGAAGGAGACTGCGTGCCTTGCCAATCATGAGAACTGGCCACCAGCAAACAATGGCATTTTGTTTGAGAAATGGAGAGAAAAGTAGTAGTTAAAGCAAGACTGGAGCCTTACCAGCCTGGTGGCCTGCCAGGCTTTTTTAGAGAAGAACTCATCAGCTTCTTGACCACCAAGCATTATGCTGACAAGTCAGAGGTTCCATCCCAGGGGCCAGGGAAAATTTCACAGGTTAGATCTGGTGGTTTGGTGAGGTCTGACTTGCAGAGGGTTGGGTCCCCAAGGAGAGAATTGGCTTGGGGAGATGCTGTAACCAAAGACCCACACCAGTTACTGAAAGACTTGGATTAAGTACACAGTGCCTTGTTTCTTGTTTGGCAATTACACTAATGGCCCCCCCATGTTCTGTGACCCAAAAATCGGGGAACTGAAGTGATTAGATCATAACTGCCATGGCGGTGCCTTAAAGAAGGGACCCTGAGAAACAATCCACACACTCTGTTTCTGAAGGACAGGATTGCGAGAGCCACAAGGACCCGGTAGAGCTTCCAGGATAAAAGTTTCAGCAACTCTACCCTTGGGGGAGCCTTGTTTAGTTACAGAGCAGCCTTGGAGAATTTCATTCCAGCCCCGTAATTTTTCAATGAAAGCGTTGGTTTTCTGTAAGAAGTATTTTATGCTATACTCTGTTAAACAGCTGGGTAGAATCTGGAAAAAAAAGAAAAAAAAAAAGATCCAAAACTGGTTATTTGGAAAGAACTCTGTTCTTAAACACTGGTTCAGGCAGACCTAACTATTAGGTGGAAAGTTCTTGCATATTCTCTGTTTACTTGAAGGTTTTATTACCCATTTTCTCATGTGCTGTACGGTCCTACATCAGAAGACCAAGGCCTGGTTTGACAGAGATGATTGTAATTGCAACACAACTTGTGTCAGACCCATGTGACGTGCCCGTCCACTTCATGGAAATTGCAGCTGGCTGCCCAGTCATACCAGTTAATCAGACGTGTATTACGTGGGAAGCCTGCCATTAAGTTTGGTGCTTTGATGCCTGTCTGAGGGGTGTGATCTGGGTAAGCACAGGAGTTGTAAACTTTTGTGAGCAGATCACCTTTTCTGTCTCTCATTACAGGTATGTGAAATGAGACGTTCTGGGTCCTTTCATCATAAGGGAGAAGCTGCAGAGATCTCTGAGGACCTGATACAATCAGCTACAGAATTTGCTGCTGGAGGGGACAGAGATGCCGCTCACCTACCCCCAGGCCATTCTCAGGCTTAAACACCTTTGGGCTCATCTCTGGGCAAGTTAGAAACTGCCTTTGTTTACCTGCTTGCAGCGTATTAGAACAGACGATTCCTGCTAATATTGTATTTTCTCTTAAAACATAGCTTTTCTGTAATTTAAAATGCTTTTATGAAAATATTTGTAATTAATTATATATAGTTGGAAACAGTAATATGCTTTTCCCATTATAATATATTTTTGTATGCAAATAAAGTTTGAACTGGAGTCTGTCTTTTGTGAGTTTTCCTTTTTCCTCTTTATTTCTTTCAATATATTTTCCATTCAAATAGTATTCAAGTGGAAATAACATGCTTTTTGACCTCTAATAAGGACCTTGAGTGCTGCTGCATCGCACCAGGCAAAAGGATGGTAAATGTTAAGTGTTACTTTGAAGCTCATTTAGGGCCTTAAAGGGAAATGCTGGCGTATGACTGATGGGAAATTCTGGTTTGAGGATTGTGGTTTTGATGGAAGTTGAGTTTCTCTTCTATCTCTGTTCTCTTAGGATCTTTTTTAGGTATCTTGGGCTCTTTCCTTCAATTAAGGGAAATACTAGGTGTACTCAGAATCCAGGGAAAGTTGGGGCAGCTGGAGGACTTAAACATGATGGTGCTAAGATCTGTGTGCTGAGGAAGGTTTGATGGCACTGGCCGGGATGCTAGTGTTCTGGTGGCTTCAGTGGAGCCAGAAGGTCCAGAGGCAATGTCTCCCATAGGTGGGCTTCGCTTGTGGAAGCCAATGACCCCACCCCCTACCTCCACCACCTACATTTTGTGGAGGATGTGGAGGGCATAGAAACAGGAAAGTCCATAATTTTCTTTTCTTTTTAAAAATTTCTTTCTATTCTTTTTTTTTCCCTTTCATTTAAAAAATTTTATTACTTTGTTGGTGTTGTTTGTGGTTTTTTGGAGGTGGGGGTAATTAGGTTTGTTTGTTAGTTTATTATTTTTTAATGGAGGTACTGGGGACTGAACCCACGACCTCATGCATACTAAGCACTGAGCCCTACCACTGAACTGTCCCCTCTCCTCTTCTTTGTAATTTTCTTATCTATACTTCTCTATCCTTAAAACCTCTGAAATAGCCAGGCACTACTTTGATCGTCAGAATCAAGTCATACAAAAACTCTAATCCTTATGTTCCTATAGAACACAAAGTTAAAACATATCTACTCAGGATTTTAAGTATATCTTGAAAAGCTACCAACTAATTCGATCTGTTTCGTAGGGTGTTGGGAAACTAAACTGGTCTTTTTAAAAAAGTGTTTTTCTTGTTTCTTTATTGAGATGTAATTCACATACCCAAACATTCATCCTTCTAAAGTGTACAATTCAGTGGGGTCTGTAGTATGTGTATTTCAAAGAGTTGGTATGACCATCACTAATTCTCTGACTATGGATTTGTCTATTTTGGATATTTCATATAAATGGAATCATACCATGTGTGGTCTTTTATGTTTGGCTTCTTTTTTTCAAGGTTCATCCATGTAGGGTTTCTTTTTTTTTCCACTGGGACACCAGTGGCTGTTCATTGTCACTATAATTTTTATTACTAGTCTCCAGGAATTGGGGTTCTACCTGCATCTGGCAGCTCTTTCTTTATGGTCTCCTGGAACCTGGACTCCCAAAGTCAGATGTGCAGGGTATGTAGCTTTGTGGCCTCATGTGAGGATAAGGTCAGTGGTTTGGGGACAAAAAGTAGATTCTTTGAGAAAAATATTGAGGGAGGGTAGTTTGTGCTCTAACCTCTGTTGGATGAGTAACCAGGGACCAGAAGGCTGTGGGCTGAATCACAGCTTGGGGTTCAGGGAACTTTGAAAACAGTGTTTTCGGCGTTTCCCAAGATGCATTTCAAGGACCACATTCCTAAGATGTTTTGAGGAAAAGGTATTAAGGTTGTATGTACTTTAAAAGTGATGCATGTACCTCAGAGATTTATTACGCACCTTAGTACATAAATTACTTAGGGTTCAGTCTAGGTTGATGGATCAGAGAACCCCAAATATAGCGGTTTAAATAAGATGGAAATTTCTTTCTTGCTAACAGCCCAGAGGTGAACAGTACAGGGCTGAGTGAATGGCTCTCTGGTCCAAAGTGGCTGCTCCTGCTCTTGTCATCACATTTACATTCCAGCCAGCACAAAGGAGAAAAGGCAAGTCAAGCACAGGCTTCTTTCTCTCAATGATAGGAATAGAGGGGCCACAAATCACTTCTGCTCATGTTCTCTTGTCCAGATCTTAGTCTGTTGGCCATTCTCAGCTGCAAGGGAGGCTGGGGAAAAAAGCCTCTTGCTGGGCAGATAAGTGCTCAGCTAAAAACTGAGAATTCTATTACTAATGAAAGACAAAATTAGAATTGGAGGACAGCTAGTCATCTCTGCCACAGAATGTTGAAGGCTTTGAGAAATCCTGCAGCCAAAAAATCTGTTTTGTCTTTTTCTTGAAAAGCTATCAATAATCCACAACATACTAGTGTTCCTTGGAATGCACCTTAACAAATGCCATTGTAGGTAATCTCGCTCCAGCGAGGTCTATTGATTTCCACCTTCTGCAAGACCTGACTGCCCACAGCACAGCCTTTGCAAACTGCTTGATTGTCCCGAGCAGCGTGTCAGCCAGTGGGCTTTTCTGGGACAGAACAAGACCAGATTTCTGAGCATGTGGAGCTGGTCAGATGTGACTAGCATGTTGTAGAGTCTGGGAATTTTCTGTTCTAACTTCGGGGAGGGATAGCTAAAATAAAACAAAACAAAAAAATATGACACACACCCAAAGGGAGAGGACTAAGTGTCTGCTCAAATATTCACACACCAGCCAGCCTCTGGGATGGGACAGAGACACCGATGGCATGCCTTCTTGGGAAATTAGAGCTGAGGCCAGCTGTACAGCACTTCTGCCCCACGTGTGAGAAGGCACGTCTGAGCTGAGAGGCAGTAGGTGGTGATGGGTGGTCTACTGACAGCCTCGACAACCAGTCGATGTTGGGGCCCCCCAGGAGGTTCCTCCACAGAAATATCCCCCTGGGGTGGGAGGGGTGGGGAAAGGGGCTTTCAAACTCTACCAGGTTCAAATTCCACCTTCACTCTGTATCTGGGTGATTTCAGGCACAGATGTTCTGTTTCCTCATTTAAAAAACAGATACATGAGTCCTTATCTCCTGGGGTCGTTGTGAGGACCGGATGTAAAAGTTGTAAAGCGTCGAGCACTCTTCCTCCCCCTCTTCTTCCTCACAAGACAAGGACGTGGGGCTCCTGTACCCAAGTCAAACTTAAGCACAGGGGGAAGGGAAGAGCTCAGTGGTGGAGTGCATGCTTAGCATGCATGAGGTCCTGGGTTCAATCCCCAGTACCTCCTGTAAAAATAAAAAATAAGTAAATAAACCTAATTACTTCCCCCTAGAAAACAAACAAAAAAACCCCCCAAAATATATATATAAAAATTAAACATCACCTACAGTGGTCACAGAGGCAGCTCCAACCCCACTGTTCCTCGTCTGATAGAAGAAAGCTAGCAAATCTGGTCTGAAGGGCCCAGAGGTAGTGAGGCAGGGACAGAACCCAGGACAAAGGGTCAGGGGATGGGCTTCAAGCCTCAGCCCTGCCAGTGACGGACCCGGCCCCTCCCTGGGGCTCAGCTTCCTCCAGGTTAAACACAGGCGGGACAAAACGTCTGCGAGTCTCTTTGGCTCCTACAGCTGAGTGGGCTTGTGTCCCCCTCAGACTTACAGCTCTTCTCTGAAGCAGATGGGATATTTTTGGCTTTTTCAGTATGCGTTTCTTCCACACCCTAATCCCAAATGTTTTCCTGTGCTAATTTATTTGGCCAAGAAGGTCTGTGGTGAGAGACACCAAACAGGAAATGGCTGTCAGAGCTGCTGTCTGCAAGTTTTTTTTTTTAAGGCTTTCTCCTGCCCAGTTCACCTTCCCTGAGTGGCTCGGTATTGACTTAAGGGCCAGGGTAAGTGGAAGGGGAAAGGGAAAGGGAAATATATTTTTAGAAGGGAACATTTTCTTTCAAGTTCAAAGTTCACTGAAGGGTAAGGATTATGCACAATGGCAGGATTAGGTGGCCCCTTGCCACCACAGGGCCTTTGCACACACAGTTCCCTTGGCCTGGAAAACCTTCTCTTCTCTATTTTTCTAGGTAATTCGGCTTCCTTAGCATCAAACAACTGAAAAATTGATCAAGGGCCACTACTGGTGCTGGGGGCTTATAACAGTGCTTTCCCCAGCTGCTTGTAGTTCATTGGGAGAGATGGAGTCTCTGAAGACTGAGAGACCTTTGAAGACAAAAGGAATGAATCTCAAATGATGGAACTTCAGTCACCATGACTGGCAGTAGAGGAAAGAGGAAGACTTCCCAGTCCCTCCAGGGAGACAGCTGATGCTAGGCTGACCCTGATCCTGACACGATATTTACCTTTTCTGAGAACTCAAGTGTTCTAAAGTCAGTGACATTTTCCGAGACCGACTGTGCATAGAGCATGGTGTCAGCACATCGTGTGTATGAGTGTGTGTATGCGTGCCTGTGTGTGCATATATGTGTGTGTTATGAATCAGTCAGAAGGAAGGAGACAAAGGCACAGGCCCTGGCTTAGAAGACCCGTAGGAGATGGCAGGGCCCTCAGAGGGTCTGGGGTTGAGCGGCCCACCAGCTTGGCCTGCTGGTAAGAGCTCGGTTTATCTCCCCGGGCTGGACTGGCCCTTCCTCCACTGGACTTGTCCTTGCTTGTCAACATTTCAAAACAGGATCACCTTTGTAATTGAATTTTCATGCATCACAACGGAAGGGCCCAACCCCATGTGCTCCCAGGAGGCGTGTGACCCGTGGTCCTAGGCTCAGGGCCAAAGCCTGTCCTGAACCAGAAGAGTCAGGGTTTGGTTGTGGATCTTAAGCCAAAGGAAGCCCCCGCCCAGCCAAGAACAGGTCTGGGAGGGGCAGGACCGCGGCGTGACCTCTCCCTTGTCAAGGGGACTAGAGGGTAAGCCTGGAGCTGCAGGAAGGAGCCCTGAGAAGGGGGTGGGGAGCGGCAGAGTCACCCTGCCTTCGGGAAGGAATTCTGAGTGAGGGGCCTGGCTGCTTAGGGAAATGGGAGTGTGGCGTCTGTTTCTGAGACAACTCGGGTAGCCAGAGAGGAACTGGGGAACCCGGACGAATCCTGCAGTGAAGTTTTTGGTGGGTGAGCAGACTCAAAGGAGAGGAAACTTACAAGAACACGCAGTTCAGG